GGGGGGGCAGTGAGAGGCGAGGAAAGGCAAGGAGAGTTTTGTGAGCAGAAATCGCCACAAGCCCTCTCTAGTACCACGAGAACCTGCCCTGGCAGACAGACAGGATGCGGAAGTGGCAAATGCCTTGTAGAATCGGCTTCCCTCCAAATTCACTGTCACTTACTCCAAGCTCCCCTTGACCAGTGTGATTGTTTGGTTTGGTTTTCACACACCTGAGCCAGTGCCGGTTAGTCCCAGCCAGTGGCCTGGACTTCACCCCGTCCCAAGCTGGGAAAGGCCCATTCTCACCACCGAGCTGGGAGCTGAGTCAGGGGACCCCAGTTTGCTTGAGCCTCCCCTTCCTGCAGGCTGCTCTTCCCCAGACCCCCACCTCTTTGGGGTCGGGGCGGGGAGGACAGGGGCCCCACCAGCCCAGAACATTCACCTGGGATTTGGCTGGAGAGTGAAAAAGACTGTTGGTTTCCAATGCCTGGGCATGTCCGCAGTGGCCATTACAGGGCTTAATGCCTTCAGCCTGGGAACTCTAAAAGTGTGGTTTTGTTCTAAAACCCAGAATTTCTGACAGCCTGAGTTAATAAGCCCCCCAAGTGAATTCAGAGCGTACTGGTGGGAAAGTTCTGAACTAGACTCCTTCTCCCTCATGGAAGCATCTCAGAGAAATGCTCTTCTCCCACTTTAAGGGTAAGTGTGGACTTTGATGTGGGCCCTGGCCCTTTAAAAAGTCCCCTCTGTGGAGGGGGATACTAAAACTTAACATGGAGCCAACACATGACTTGCGCTTTGAGAGCATATGTGCTTAGTCCTTAGGGGCTAAAGGCCATGGCTAAAATACACAAACAAACAAAGAAATAAAATTTTTTAAAAAATGGAAGACAAAACCCACCTCCTCCCACCACAGCTCTTTAGCCCACCTGGACTGACCCTTTAATCTGGTCAGGGGCTGTTTCTAAAGATCATAGCCCCCTTTCAGAAGTGAAACGTCATACAGCCTTGAATAATAAAACAAAAAACAAAACAAAACGAAACACCAAAAAAAAAAAAAACCCAAAACCAAAGAAATAGCCTTCTACAACGGAGCAGCTCTCTTAGAAGCAAGAGTGGGCCTGGGGTGTAGCTTCCAAGTTCAGGGTTTGATGTGGGGTGCAATTCAGAATGAGTAGCCATCTGGGAACCTTGCCAAGGGAATTCATCTACCCAAATTCCCTGGAGTCCCCTGGAAGCCTCACTGCCCCCAGGTGCTTGGGTCACAGGACCTCAGCTAAGGGACCAGGGCTGCAGCTGAGGAGAGGTTCTCTGAGAAAGAGAGAGGAGAGGCGTCCCCGGTGAAGGTACGTGTTGCTTCCAACTTTGGGAGGCCTTGGGTCCCAAGTGTGTGCGTTAGGAATTGAGGAAGGAGCCCAGACTCCGTGGGGGCTGGAGTCCCACAGCCTAGCTGAGTGCCAGCTTTGCTGTTGCCTTCGCGCTGTGCGATCTTGGGCGAGTGACATCTGCAGCCTTAGTCTCCCCGGCTGTGAAATGGGAACCGGCGATGGCGGCCGCATACCTGTCGCCCGGGGTTCTTGTGCGGAGAGGAGCCAGGGCGGTGCCCGGTCCAGTCCTGGGCCCGTGGTACGCGCCAGGCAAGCAGGAACTGGCTCTGTTACTAACTGGGGTTCGATTTCCGTGATGGTTTCCCAGGATGGAAAGACCATTGCAAGCTCC